AGGGGGGAAGGAGGAAGAAGAGGCAGGTCAAAAGGAGGGCCAGTATCCCCTGCTTCCTTAGGGGGTGAATAAGAAGAGAATTAGGCCAAGAGAAGCTGTCCCTCTTCCCAAAAGTGACTGCTTCTCTGGGATCTAGGAGCCTCATCCCCAGTGAGGACCATACAGGCCATTCTTCTAGCTGGGGGCCTCGGCATGCTCTGTGACCCCATCTCTGTGATTGCCCCTGTTCACTCTGGAGTGTAGTGACTGCAGTATTTGCAGTCACACAAAAACAGAAAGTGAGGCAAACTATGAAGTCACAAGACAGCACCTCCCCTTCGTCTATAGCTTGCTTTCGAAATTCACTTTGAATCCATCTTTATACCAATTTCATTAGCAGCTTACTCCAATTTGGATAGTATATGCCAAACTCTGCTCTCCATTATAGGTATCAGAGAGTTCCCCCAGATGTAACAAAGCAGAAGTAGGTCCCTACCTGGGATTGAAGCTCTGGTGGCCAGCAACTGACGTAGCTGCACAGGGTGAGTTTTACAACACTTGTAACCAACATAAGTCAGAGCTTATGTGGGCTTGACGTGGGGTTTACACACCTGCGTTTCTCACAAGTCTCAGGAGAATCAATGTTTTTCTTTAAGCACCAGCCCCTGAAGTCATGTGATTATGGGAGAATCTCTGCTTCCATTAAAAACAACAAGTTTTGGAGACTAGACATGTTTGAAAAATGACCCCTAAAAGGGTCAAAACACCAAAAGACAAAGACTAGAACCAAATGTGAATTGAAATCTCATAATCTGTAAGCCAAATCTCATGATTTTTGAATGGCTGGGAAGGGCAATCCTGGGAACACTGGTATAAGGGCCCCCCTTCGGCAAGTTCCCAATCACCATGAACCCTGCCACATCCCACCCCCATCCTTGAGCAACCCCAGAAAAACCCGCTTAAAGACCTGCTAAAACCGCAGCCCTACTTGAAACTGACATAATTGTCCAGATCCCGCCTGGTAGTTTAAAACAACAAAAGACTTTAATTTATATAAAACAAAACATGTATATCAGTTGAACAACATTGACTGTACAAAGGAATAAAAGAAAGAGTCCAAAATAACATTGGAATGGTCCGAGTGTCAGACAGCAGCTAAAGACTAGTGTTGATATCAGATGCGAGAACCACTTTCTTTTCAAATGAAGAAAACAAGATGAGTTCAGTTTTGATCAGCAGACATTCCAGATCAATGAATCTTTCCTCTGGACAGGATTTGCTGAGATTGTACAGGGGAAAATGTACAGTGGGAGACGAGATGGGAGAGGGTTTATTTGTAGGGGATAAACCATCCACCGGTAGTTGGAAGAGTTTCTAGACATGCAGAACGGAATCTTCCATCTCCTCCCCACGCCAGCTGCGTGTATCAGATATTAGATATGGAAGAGGCAACACAGGTGAGTTACAGGCTGCTGAGGGGCTGCCACAACTAACTGTCTAACGGAAACCAAATTCAAAGAGGGTTTTACACTGATGGATAGGGGTGTGTTCTGCCTCCCATCACCTGTTAGCCATATATCCCTAGGCTGCCTGGCTGCTTCTGCTCCCTGTTGAGTGACATGGAGCAGTGGGTGTAGTACTGCTGGCAGGTTCTAGAAATCCCCTGGCTTCCCCGCGACGGCACTGAACTTGACTACAGCTTTAGTTCTTAGTCTGAATCACGGCCACAAAAGACACCCCCAGCCCTTGGTTTATTTTCTCCTTCTCCCTCATTTGAGCTTCGTTGGTGGCCCGGTTTATTGCCCTGCAGCTGGGCTATCTGTGAAATCTGTCCTCTGGGGTTTGAGAGAGTGCAGAAACTCCTTCGTCTCCAGACCCTGTCAGGGAAGGAAGGGAAAAGCACAGCAGGGAGTGCTGCTGTGGGAAGGGGCTGTGCCATTTCTCTGCCACCCGTCTTTTAGTTGCTGCTTGAACAGAGTGGGTGGTCAGCCGTGCAGGAAACGCAACAGCTTCATCCTGCCCATGTAACAAGCTGCTTTAGGGTGACAGACTAAGCCTGGTCTTGGGGAACTGCTGCTAATGGGAGACAGGCGGTAACAGTAGAGCACCAGCATCTTAGAGCAGACGTGCCAGTTTTAGTTTCCCAATAAAGAGGGAGGTATAATGGAGGCAGAACAGAGCAACCAAAAGCAGTTCATACAGTTAGACCATCCTGAAAGCCACTGAAAAACTACACATCCTGATGGCCTACAAGAACCTGTCACCAGGTCTTGGTCTCGCTCACCTATGACTGAACTCGCATCGAACTGTAATCAGCCTCTCTAGCTTAACAAGGACTGGGCACTACTTCTGCTGAAAGCCCTAGTGGAAAGTTAAAAGTCCTGCTACTATGGGACTAAGTAAGGGAAGCTGTTGCTATTGTCCTAGATGGGATTTCTCTAACATCACATGCCGATCCCAAGCACATTGCCAACGAGAGAGATTGCTTGCTCTAGAAGCTGTGAAAACCTATGTGACAATAAAAACAAGCCAATGCATTTCCCTTCACGTTTTCCTGCCACTGAACAGCAATCATGGCTGTCTGAGGGCACAGCAAGATAGCTTTGCTTGGTCATCCAATGCAGGCAAACTCCAGACTAGCAAGGCGGCATTTTAATACCACTTAGAATGGCTAGTAGTGCTCCAGTCCTGATCAGTTCTAATATGCCACACTCCAGTGTGAAATGTGTTCTCCCTTCTCCTGCCCCCATCTAGAAGAGGAGCCATGGGCAGTGCTAGAAGATTAGATGTTCCCTGGAAAGGTGAAGTGGGTATTTACAGGTGCAGAAAGGACCCTGGATTCAGGGCCTGCTCAAAGTCTCCATGCCTATTAGGGGGTTGACCTTATGGCCCAGAAGAGTGGGAGGGATAAATAGCAGTACTGGGGAGGATGGGGGAAGGAACAGTGACCCCAGAAGGGTAGCTTGTGATCAAGCTGTGTGTTTCTCTTCACTGCAGGCCCAGCAGAAGTGTTTTACTTGTATGCCTGCAGCTCCTCAAGGCCAGCACTGATCAACAACCCTCACATGAGAAGATGCTGCCTATCATGGGAAAATAAACCTGGTACCAGCTGACCTTTGGGTCTCTAATATTTGGTCTGACAGAACCTTTGTCTTCAGGCTCCTGCAGGCCATGGCAGCCTCACAGCTGCAACTCTATTTGGGTTTTGGTTTAAGTGAGTACAATCAGCCTCTGCACACACACCCCCCCGCCATTACATTTAAATCCTAGCCCCCTCCTAGGCCCTCACCCTTGTTACCAGGAATGTTCAGAAAAGGAAGGATCCAGAATGTAGCATACAAATCGCTCTCTCCTTTCGCATAGATAGTATTTAAAACAAACCAACGCAGAGCAATCCTGTTTGTACAATCCCCCAAAGTGTTTGTAGATATTCACCTTAAAATCCCCCTCTCCCTTCCTCCCCCTTAGCTGCTGCACTGCAAACAGAGGTCCCATGCTTCTATTTACATGGCTGCATAAAATTTTCCCTGACTGCTTCTTTAAAAAGTTAAAAAAAAGTATAAGTAGATCTCGCTATATAAATTTTTATATAAATAAGTGAAAGGCAAGCAGGACTGCTTCCTTCAGATTCCCAATTGGCCAACTCTTGCCTCTTTTTTGTCAATGGCAGGTTAAAGTCCAGGTAGAATTTGCCATCATCTTATGCCCCGTTTATTCTTAGAAGTCCACTGTTCACTATCGCACCAGCAATGCATCTGGGAGTTCAAGAGTTACAGTTGCAGCACAGATTCTCCCTTGACCACCCCCTAAGCCTCTTGATCTTCCGCTAAATCCCCTCCTCTGCCAAGACTGGACGAGCTTGTCCCTCCCCCATGCCAGCAGCTGCTGAGTTTTCCACCCAGACTAAGGAAAATCCCAAAGCATTCCTGAAGGTTCACTTGGCACAGTCCCCTTTACCAGCGATGTGGGATCCAGTCGATATGATGGTCTGAACGTTAAGCTGAACTCGTTTTCCAAAGCTATGCATGTCATCAAAAAAGTGACCCAGGAACGTTCAAAAGGATCCTATTGAAAAGGGCTACGTGTGTAAACATCTGTACATCAGTGGGTGGGTCTGTTTGGAGCTCACAGCGTTACAGTCTTGCTAAGAGATCTTGCAGTTGTTGCGTGAGCAGTTCTGTGGGGGACTCTGCGGCGGGCGGATTGATTTGGATCTCTTCAAGCTGTTACCTTTGCTGCTGCTCCCGCCCCCACTGCTAGCCAAGGAGTATGACCGGCCGTGCATCATCACCGCGTTCATTCCATTGGCCATGGAGAAGGATTTCAAGTGGCTCTTGATGGTGACAGGCAGTGGCAGCTTGTCAATGAGGTGGACCGGTGTGCAGGAGACTATTGCACGGCAGCAGAGGTCCTGTAAGCTGAACACTGTCGGGAGAGAAAGAATCAAGCACGGTCAGAGGGCAAGTGACACCCAGGTGGTGCCTCCAGGGAGAGAGCTTTCCCTGCTGCACATCTCGCCTGCACTGTACATCACCCATTTCTTAGGGAGCGAGAAACTAGTGGTGGCAATATGGTGCCTTAGAGACTGCAGATCTGATGGTGAAAACAAGGAACTAGGAGACAGGACTCCCAAGTTCTCTGAGCTCTGCTTCCAAACCTCAGTTTAACCATCAGCAGAATAATCAATCCTTCCCGCCCCCCCACCCATACAGTGCTGCGAGGCCTCATTTAGTCAGTATTTGCAAACTGTTTGGCAGTTGAGTTGCACAGCCCCCTTCTTCCCACTCCAAGATACAAAGAGCAGACGTGGTCTGGAGGAAGGCAACAGCCTTGCTGGGGCGAGGCAGAGCACATTCCTGTTTGGGACCTGTTCAATCTGTACAAGCCCAGGGGCAGGCTCTTCTGAACTCTGACCCCATCATCCAGCAGAACTGCCAGCCCCATACAGCTAGAGCAAGACTCAGCCTCTCCGAGAAAGCCCTTATTTCCATGAATTCAGTGTAAAAAGCATGTGACACTGCTTTGTGAATGCCCCAGCTCGTGCGGGATTTCCTTACAGCTGGCCACACGGGGGCACACTCCTATCTTCAGTCTGCCCAAGGACTGAGCCTGCAAAGCCATGAAGCAGTGCTATGCATGGGGAACAAGAAGCTTGTGAAGATTGTAGACCCTATCCATGGAAGGCGTTCAGGATAGATTTGCAGCGCACAGAAGACTTCAGCTTTAAATTCTCACCGTTGTTTTGCAGGGCAACAGAGCGACTAGACTGGCTCGATCTTTAAATCAAGCCAGCTGTGTATGCTGGCTCTCAATGCAGGGAAAGCTTTCACCGCAGAGCAAGGTATCTCCCTGCAGAAACTGCAGCAGCATTGCCTTCTGCCTCCAGTAAGATTTGTGTTTGAATCCCCGCTAGTATCTCACTGGCACTCCATATGCATCAAACAGCAGTGTGCCAGCAGGCCCAGCTACAGGGACCTTGACCATTGCCTTGGCAGAGAAGGACTCTCTCATCCCTTCTGGCTGACGCACCAGCACTTCAGTGATGGCTAGTCAGTGCCCAGGACAGAGGGGAGAGTGTCTAAGATAATGGGACCTGGCTCACACTTGGATACCTAGGTTCATTCACCACCCCCCACATCTGCAGGAGAAAATGTGCCACCATAAAAGGGGAAGAGACTATTTCTTCCTCCCCAGGGCACTGCGTACCAACAATCCCTGCTACCTCCACTGCAGCTACCCCCCCCCCCCCCCCATCTGGAAGAGGGTGGAACGAGCCTCACCTGGAGTAGAGCCAGCAGCCAAGTGCCACTTCTCCCCCAGCCTATCAAAGGACTGAGCTCACGCACACACAACCCTGCACCACAGGCCAACTAAGATGCCTCTTCTTTTAAGCTCACCACACTGACTATATATATGGAGCAAAGGGGCCTGTAGCACTGGAAATTCAGGAGTGGATTACTCAAACCTTCTCTGGCTTGAACTGATACTAGTGGGCTGCCACGTCAGACAAAGTGAGTTCAGCTAGTGAATCACCACAGGTCGGAGTGGTCACACAGGTGTGCTAGAATACAGCAGCAGCATGGCCCAGTGGTTAGAGCAGGGGACTGAGTCCAGTCTCCTGGGTTCTATTCCCAGCTCTGATAGCAACTGATTCTGTGACTGGAGGCACACTACTTACCTTCTGTGCCTCAGTTTCTCTGTGTGAAGCAGGGATACTTTTTACCGAGCTCGCAGAGGTGGGTGGGGACTGAGGCACTTTGTGTTTGTGAAGTCCCCAGATGGTTATTAAATACTGCCTCTTCCGAGCAGGAAGGCAAACTCCCACCCCTTCAATGTGGGCAGTTTCTTCTGCCCACAGAGCACCTCATCAGCACAGCAAGAGCAGGTCTCCACTCACCTCTGTTAGGTCTCCAGATCTTTTCCATGCCATGCCTCATTAGCACGATGCGAGACAGCTCCGTAAAGGACTCGGTCACATTGAAGTTGCACAGTGGGCTGACCTCGAAGAATGTCATGCAGTTCTTCTCAGCGTAGGAACGGGCCTGCTCCGTGGGCACCTGTCGCTTGAAGGCTAGGTGAAGCCTGTTTCCAACCAAAATCCGGGGGACACCTGGAGCATGCTTTAAAAGAACATGGTTCATCTTTAGAAAAGAGCATCAAACTCACTGACACACCAGTGACCACAGACTATACCTAGTGGGCTGCTTAGCTTACAGTATCAAAGGGCACATGAGGAAGCGAAACTGCCTCTGCTGGGACTGGCCACTGTGATATAAACGCTGGTGTCTAAGCAGGGACTCCTCATACAGATTATTCCATTTCAGACCTTTCCTCTCATGATTTTACAGGGCATTGCCCAGAATTCCTTGGTTAACAGGCCCACAACTCAGCTGTATGGATATCCTGCTCCCCATTGCCTGCACAGTTTTAGCCTGGTAGAAGCGGATAGCAAGATAGAGGCTTTTCTTTCTTCTCTGACTAGGGAATTGCAAGTAATTCCTTTCCACAGGGTAGTCCTCCTTTCCCCCCAAAGGTCTCCTGGACACAGCAGGGATTTCAACTCCTCTGCATCAGACCTTGGTTTTGTGGCTCATTACAACCGTTTGTAACACACCCTACTGCCTGCTAACCCTCAATTGCTCATTTCATTTTAAGTGGCCTCCTACAGTGTATGTGAACCCCTTATGCTGAACAGTCTGCCCCAATCTGTAGTTAGCCCAGGCCTGGTCTATGCTAGGAAATTAGGTCACTATAACCTACAGTCCTCAGAGGTGCGAAAAATCCACAGCATTAGGTTGACGGGAGAATTCTCATGTTGACCTAGCTACCGCTTTTTGGAATTCAACTCTGGATTACCTATGCCAACACCAGAATCCCTCCCATTAGTGTAGGTACCATCTTTACTGAAGCACTTCAGCTGTGCGGCTGCAGCGTTTTCAGCGTAGACAAGCCCACAGATACTCTGGTTGCCTTTCCTGGACCTGAAGAAGAGCTTTGTGAAGCTCGAAAGCTTGTCCCTTCCACCAACAGAAGTTGGTCCAATAAAAGATCCTATTACCTCACCTACCTTGTCTCTTTTGATTATATTTGTAATCTCTGCTTTCCAGCAAGTGCCATCTGTGGGGCTTAGTAAAATCAGAGGTGTCAGCATCAACAGGCTATTCAGCATCCAAGGAGACCTGCCACTTTCACAGCACGGTGATATTTCTGTGCTGGCACCAGAAGCTGCAGCGTTTATATTACTGTAGTCACACCAGGCCCTGTTGTGATAGATGCTGTATGAACACATCCTAAACAAGCTGCAGTGTCACACTTACCTCGTCTATTTCCTTTATCCAGCGGTCTATCCCATCGAAGGACCAGCGGTTAGTGATGTCATACACCAAGAGAATTCCCTGCATGGAAACGAATGTGAGCCTGGTGAATTTCATGCTATGCAAACTGAAAGTGAGATGCAGCTGGAAAGACCCGCTCCCCTGAATTTTTCAACTGAAAGAAACTGACACTCAGCACGAGACGCTAAAGACTGTTTACCTTGGTCCTCTGAGTTTAAAGTATGGGGATACTGTAAACTGCCCTGGGGAAGACAGCCAATTCTATTTTGACTTCCGACAGCAGTCTTTATTATGACTGAGGACATATGAGCAAGGATGAACACAGTGGACTGACACACCAGCCCAGGAGGCATGTTTACAAGACTAGCAGTTTGGGGAATAGGGGGAAGGAGTTGCCCAGTAGCATGTTTAAATGGAATATCTGAAACAGAAACAGAGTCATTTTTACACAGAACAACTTCACTTGAAGATATGTTGGCAACAAAGCTGATAAAGTTAAACCAGTACAGCACATCTAGCACACTGCCTGCACTTATTTTGCCAAGAATGGGTTTCACTCTTTGTCCAGCCTTTCTTTCAGTGGAGAAAACTTTACATTTGAGTGAATTCACCAATCAGGAAAGTGAAGGACTAGACTAAATAAGACATGGTACTGTGGAAGCTCCCAAACAACTGCCACTTGTGCATTGTGTGCAGGACAGATCACTATTCTGGCTGCATCCACATGGGACAAATCAGGCATCGGGATATTCCCTAGGTTACTCTTTTGGCTTTTATGAATGGGCTCCCTGTCTTGATCTTTTGGTTGCTGATGGCACCTAACTACAATGACGATGAGGGCACTATAAATGCCTGTGACAGACAGGCATGGCTTTGCAAGACTTTGCTGTACTAGAGAACATTAAATAAGTCATATACAAGTTCAGAGAATGCTTTTTATACAGTGCTAGTGTCTTAGCTTTGAGCCTGGGGCTGGTGCGTATACTACCTTCTCTAGAGAAGTTTTACAGCTCAGTTTCATTTTTGATAGTTCACCATAAAGCTTCATCAGTCCTGCAGTCAGAGCAGAGCAACCTTCATTTAATGGACCTTTGGTTTTCCAAAAGGAAGACAATTTTTAAGCTCATGCCTTGTCCCTGAGGCTGCGACAAAAGAAAGCAAATAAGGTGGTAGATATAAATGTAACTGCGCGTGATGGGAGAGAAGGTGACTTTGTTGACAATCCCTTTGGATATTTACACTGAGTAACCTCTAGCTATTTTTGAAGATTCAAAGGACCAGGCCACACATCTGGGCCGAAGGAGTTCACTTTGCAAGACATCCTGTTTATGTTTAGGTTGCGATAAGGCCATCTTAGTGGTGGGAGACAGCAATTGTGAAAAGAAGCCAGCCGTGGAAGATATATCATCAAAAGGTAAAAGCATTAGAGTCAAAACAGAGAATATAAAGCTTACGAAGAAGACTAAAGATGGCCCAGAGGGAAGAATCTCAGGTTAACTGCAGGCAGTGTTGCATTTAAAAGCATCCCAGTCACCAACAGCTGATGAGAACACACATCCTAAAGAAATCTGTCCCTTCTTTCAAAAATAAAAGCGTGAACTATTTCATCCGAGGAAAGGGCAGAATTACTGTTCTCATGTTCTGCAACAGCCTGCTGCTTGCAATGGATTGGCTAGGTAGGTAGCTACACAATGCTGCTTTTAGCTCCAGGTAGTCCATTGAAGTTACAACGATCACCATCAAAAAGCTACCAGTTGCTAACAGTTACCGCCTAGTAGCTAAAATATCACATTTCCTGCCCTTTACTTTGATCTGGAAGCAATAATGGTTGCTGTGTGGTATCTGTTGGGCAAATCTTGCCTTTTTAATGGCAGCTACTATATAATGAGGCCATAGCGATACGGTGGAACATATTAGAGAAAACCCGGATTAGTGTTTCTTACTGAATCTGTCCAGTTCCAGGCTTTCCTGTACTCCCAGCACCAAGCGATGTGTCTGACCCTACAAGCACACATTTTACCACCTCTGGTTTCAAAGCATTTACCAGAAAGTGAGTAGACATGTAAATGATGCAGAAATTCTTCTTAAAGGGCAGCTAATGCCTGATGCTAGTGCTTTCAAACGCTTCTACTTTATTTGTTCTCTCTCTCTCTTCCCTTTCTCACCAAGGGTATTTGAATGAAAACAGGAAGTTCAAGGTAATCTGCTCCTACAGCTCCACTGCTACTGTTATTGTAACTGGGTTGCATAGGAAGAGTCACAATGGAAGATAGTGATTGGAACTAGAGTAGGAACAGATGAACCAACATTGTTATGACACAGAGGCTCAGCTGGAAATAACTACATCATAAGGAAAAAAAACCCCAGCACTGATACAAATGGTCAGAGGCCAATGTAAGTGCAAAACAAACAGGTCCAGGCTACAAAATTCAGGTCTTGCAGCAGGCATAGTGTAGCCAGGCTTCTAAGCAAATGCAGCTGATGTCCCCAAAGGACAGTCAGGTCTGGGGTTGGAGTTAAGGGTGTGCCCCAAATCAAAACTTGCCCTTTAGTGAGAAGAGTCTTGCCGCACCCTCCACCCTGGATCTGTAAGCAGTACAGTGAAGTTTTGAAGACTGCACTGACATATTCCAACAGACCAGGGGAGTTACTGGTGCTACTGCACAAAATTAGTGCTTCATTCAGTTAGAAGCACAGGATTTACTGTACTAGATCAGACCGCTACTCCACCTAGTCTTCCAGTATCCTTGTTCTATGTCCAATACTTTAAACAAAATCCCATAATGCACCAAGTCAATTGTACAAAGCTGTATAGGGAGGGGGTGGGATTTTCCTTCCTGTTCTCCCAGGGCAGGAGCAGAGCATGTGGTTTGGATTACACTGGAGCAGTGGTTCCCAAACTTTAAACAACCCGTGAACCCCTTTTCACTAAAATGTCAAGTCTCACGAACCCCCTCCTAAAAACTAATATTTCCAGGGATTTTATCCTTTACCTGAGTATAAATTATAAAAGCAGTGATCTTGGAAACATAAATTTTGTTTTTATGAGATGTTTATTACACACTAATATTAATTATTATCATTACAATATTTTTATTATATTATGAAAATGGCAACACTCTTTCAAGATCTCACTTTCGTAGCTTGTATCACTTTGAATAAGCCTGTTATAAGACAAGACTTATGTTTCATCAAGGAGTATCAGATGTGAAACAGCAGGAAGGTATTTAAGAAGCCAACTCAAAGAGTTCTTCCTACACAAGCATTCAGGTCTTGAGCAGTCCAGGCAAACAATGCACGTTACAACAAAGCTTAAACTTGTTCTTCATAATAATTTTAAAAACAATACTAGCTGCCTATTTAATTTTAAAAACAGCAAAAAATATTCACCTCCCTTTCCATTTCTTATAAGGAGTCTTGAAGTTTAAATCTTCTCAGTAAAAAGAACAGGAATACTTGTGGCACCATGAAAGCTTATGCTCAAATAAATTTGTTAGTCTCTAAGGTGCCACAAGTACTCCTGTTCTTTTTGCAGTTACAGACTAACACATCTGCTACTCTGAAATCTCCTCGGTGTGATAGAGATGCTTGCTTTGATCTGCTTAGCTCTTAGAAGTCCAGGGGCTCCGGGCTGCTGGCCCCGTGCTGCCCGGGGTCCCTAGGGACAGCTCTGTCCACCATTAGGGAATTTTTCCCCCGAGAACCCCCTGTAACATTTCACGAACCCCCAGGGGTTCACGTACCCCTGTTTGGGAACCACTGCACTGGAGTAATGCCTGCTGGGGCATTCTAGCTATGTCAGTATTTGTACCATGTACCACTGTTATTGTCTAGTTTAGTCAAAATTTGACAGCCATTTTATAAAGCAGTTGCAATATTTACCTCCCTTCTGTAGTTGTGGATAGCACAAGGAAAACATATGCTGAGTGCAGCAGAACATGTGTTTTCACAAAGGGCTTCCCTTTAAAAAGGTTTCCTTGCTTATGAAGAGAGTTTCGGGGGTGGGGTGGAGGAAGGGCTAAGGCCTGGCCAGTTTTTACTATATTCTTCAATGCCTCTCAAAGCAACTCTAAATTCCCCTTTCTATACAGTTCAATAGCCCTGATCCATAGCATCTTCTGTTGTCTACAAAGCCTGCCCACTCCTCTTCATTAGTTTCCACTAATGGGGAATTTCTGTTGCCTGCAGAAATATCCAAGGCCCAGTGTGCCAAAGCATAAGGCCATGAGAAAGTTGTTAAAAATCACCACCATCTGCATTATTTACAATCACCTGAGTGGGCAGTGAGATCGAGAAAGTGTATGTATGGAGGAGGGGGCAGAAAAGAAAAATTTTCTTCAACAATTTTGCAAAGTTCCTATCAAGTAAGGATAAAAAAAAAAAATCACTCCAGTTCTGTGGCCTTCTATGGAGTCAACCACTAAAACAGAGAAGATAAAAATTAAGGTGCTCCCAAAGTAAACATACAGGGTTTGGGGTTTTCCATGATTTCTTCATAAATAAAGGCAGCCAAAAGAGAAAACAACTTTTCCTTTATGAAGCAGAAAGTGGGATTTCTTTTTAAAAAAAGATTAAACTGCAAACCAATTAGATAGAAGACATTATGCAGCTGTCTTGTTTACTTGTGGACAAAATTCCCTTAGCCAGTAGAAACGTCATGAGGTCTAATTTGTCAAGAGAGTCTTTCTGCCAGACATATGCTGTAGGATAGCATATTTAAGCACTCTAAGGAGATCTTGGACGGCAGCTCCAAAGAGGAATATTGTGCATCAATGCAATACATCACCAGGAAGATTGTGCCAAACTATCAGTAGCTGAGTGAAAGATCAAGGCTATATACTTGCTTTGACTTCAAGAAAGAAGTAAGTATTCCTCCACTGTCAACACAGGTACTTTATATTATAATTCCATGCACACGTGGACTGGAGTTTAGATTGCCAAGTGTGAAACACACAGAGAAATCAAGAAATACCAAAGTTAAGGCTGTCTGTGACCCTTCACTCTGCCACCATTCCCCAGTATGTGCATAAGGATAGAATAAGCACACTCTTTTTTTCTGC